ATGTTATTGGGGCTGCTAATATAAATGGGGGCTCTTATGTAAAAGGAGGGGCTCCTGATTTGAAGGGGGCTCCTAATATAAAAGGGGGCTCCTAATGTAAAAGGGGGCTCCTAATGTAAAAGGGGCTCTGATGTAAAGGAGGGCTCTCATGTGAAAGAAGGAATTCTGATGTGAAGGGGGAACCCCATTTTGTGAGGGGTTTTGCACAGGTTCCCCTTACAATCCATGCCAGACTCCTATCTGGGATAAGGGTCTGGTATATATTTTGGGGGGAACCACACATCGTTTCTTACATTTTTTCTACATTTTAGACTGGGGTGCCTCAAGAGTTTCCATAGTTTTAAAGTGTGCCATGATTGAAAGGAGGTTGGGGAATGCTGGTGTAGATCTTGCTAGTAAGGTAGAGGCACAAAGCAATAGCATTAAAAGGCAGTGTAGTACATTTAGAGAAACAACTAACACAGCCCACACATGCTGTATACCTGACCAAACAGAAAACATCCAACGAAGGCTATAGCCTGGTGACACATGACAAAGTCACCATTTTTATTTTTAATTATAAATAGGAAAATAAGTATACATGATGGTCTACTTACTCAACAATACAAAGACCTATGCCTTGAAGTGTTTAAACTGCTGTTTATATCTATCGCAGTCCAATATTTTATGCTCCATCAGGCTAGATTTCCTCTTTAAAATCTCAAGGAACATAGATTATATGTGAAGTTTTAGTAAGTAATATATAGAAATTGTAAGTGCTGTAGGAAGGATAAATCTTTCATAGGTCTCCATAAACCTTTGCTCACCTACTGTAAAGTACATAAGAAGTCTAATGACAGTGAAAAATGCTGCCCTAGACTTAGGAGGTTGGTCAGAGATGAAACTGCCAACAGAGTAAAAAAAATCTCCAGACAGTTCCATAAATTCATAAACTCCCTCTGCCCTAGACATTACAATAACCACAGCTGGATCCGGCAAATATCATCTCATGACTATAGGTCTTATAAAGTCCAACTGTAGTCCAAAAGTGCAATGTGGCCATGGTTTATGGTACACCCTGAATATGGGTGTAACATAAAATATGGTCAGAAAGGTAAACTTAGCCTTTAACTGCATATTTCTCAAGATGCTCCCAGCTAGAATAATTACAGAGGTTAGACTTAGAGGTTGGGTTCTCCCCAAGAAGCACAGCATCCAAGACAAGTGTGGTGGTGGAATCCCATAGAGAATGAGAGTTCCCAGGTCAGACTGATCTTTTCTATTAAAGACTCTTTAGTATACCTTTATGTTCCACATTTTCTGCTCTGAGCTTCGGCTCTCTGGTTACATTCCAGCTGACTATTGTGTTAAATCAATGAATATTTGCTTTTTGAAGCATTTCTTTTAGCTGAAGAGTTTTGGTTCTTCTATATTACATAACAATAGCAATTGTGTAACAGGAACGTACAATTTGTACTGTAACAGGAATTACAACAAAGCAGTGAAAATGAATAAAAAATACACTATGTTCGGCTGTGATAGAACGGTCCCATTACATTCAGAGGGTATGTCTGGGCAAAATAAAATAAACATCTGCATTATATGCTAATTTCCATATGGTTACCCCCTTAAAAAGTATAAGTACAAAACTACGTCCTGTAGCGAGTATCTGCTGCACTGAAATGCCAAGCTTGTTGTCAGCTCTGCCCGAGTTCTCCTCTGCTGGACTACAGAACTTCACCCAGCCCCACCACTCTCTGCCCCTCTCAACATGTATACATTGATTTCTTTCCCAGATTTGTTTCTAGTTTAATGCATCTAAGGAAGAGGGGGGCCACACTAAATACATGGACCGCCCTCTTAAGTCTTTCAACGGTAGTATTCAGACTGAAAATGGGAGGTGCAGCACTGTGCGTAAATCTGCTCTCCTCCAATAGACACTCAGTCTGTTTGCTGACAGGAGGAGACATCAAAATGATGACTTTCTGGTGTTGCTCCCAAAGAGACACAGACAGAAATAAAAAAAGTGGATGGAGTTTCTAGCCTCCTTATACTCTACAAAAAGAGTGTTTTTATTTGGCCTATGTTGCTGTTAGAGATTTGTCTTCATTTCATGTCTGGTTAAACAGTTGTCAACAGGACAGGAAGTGAGCAGAAATCTCTCTGGATAGCAATAAAAAAACCCAAAAAGGTATTCACTCTACTAAAATCTATACATAACTAAAAAACTGAAAACATTTGGCTGGACATACAGGGAACCATGCTGATTTTTTTGGGCAGGTAAGAATAGCATGTATGCATTTGAATTGTGTATTTAGACAAAATATTTATTTACATGATGCTGATTGCAATCAAATGTATATAACTATAAAGAGGTTTTTAAAAACGTCAAATATTGCCTCTATCAGAAACAAATAAGAACAATTACTAGCACAAAGACTCCAGTGAGTTCCATCAGGAGCCTGACATGTTCTTCTTGGCCTTAAAAACTGGTTCCTTCTACTGACCTACTTTCCACAGAATTGTCAGAGGACGCGCAGACAAGCCATCTTTTAATTATCTAGCAAATTAATTTCACCGGCTTGAACATGAAATATTCCATTTCTATGAATGAGACCTGGGGTGTTTGATAAATTATTTGTACTGTTGCTGAATGGATTATGGCATAAGAACATCTACCAAACATACGTGGTAAAACCATTACTACAGTTTAATTCCCAAGTAAATGCATTACAGAGGCTAGCCGCCGACTGCAGTATGTGTCCCGTAAGAGCAAGTATCAAGTCTAAATAATTAAATGGGTTAAGTGTGCCTTGTATATAGCTGTGCTGCACTTTCTCCGCATGTTTCCCTAAGGAAGCTTTGACACTTTCAAACCGAATAGGCATAGTTTGTTTATTGATGTATAGAAAGCCCATGCAATGCAAATACTGCTCATCGGAACTAATAATCTGGTCACACAAAAATAATAATAATACAATATAATGATCATGTAGTAATAAAGTTCTGACCACTTAAGTATTGTTTAGCTCTGGGCTAATAATGGCAAGTGTAATCACCACCTGACGTTTTATGTTTCTTCGGCACTCCAGTTACGAAAGACATTACGTGGCCAAAAGGTATGTGGATCCATCATTCACCCCCACCATCCCTTTCAATTTACTGAGGCCAGGTGTTTCCAATGAAGGGTATTGTTAATGCAACAGTATGCAAAGCCATTTTGGACAACTGTGCAATTCCAAACTGGTGGATACAGTTTAGGAAATGCCATTTTTTGTCCCAGCATGAATGTCCCCCTGTGTGCAAAGCTAGGCCCATGAAGACATGGTTTGATGAATTTGGTGCAGAGGAACTTACACGGAGCCTTGACTTCAACCCAAATAAATATCTATTGGAAAATCAACTGTGAACCAGATCTTCTTGTCCAACATGACCTCATAAATGCTCTTTTGGTTAAATGGTCACACATTTTCACAGAATTCTCATAGAAAGCCTTCCCAGAAGAGTTATAGCCAAACTACATTATGAAGCCCTTTTTTGGTAGAGATCCAACTCCCCCAGTTGCACAGCTTCACAGCTTTTATGGGAACAATAAAATGATGGGTGATTAAGCCTAATGGATTCCTCCATTACTACATGTCCATTTTTAGATGCAAGTACCACTTTCAAAATAAATGCAAGAGTTCTTCATTTTTTAAAATTAATTATACTCCAGCTCAGGGGAATAGCCCCTTTTCTGTAGGTTTCTTCAGAAATGGGACTCACAATTCCAAATATCACTTGCAGTATCAATTTTGGTGAAATCATGAGGTACAGGGAATAGTGAAAAACAATGGCACTTCAGGAGCGTATTATGTCTAATAGATATGGCCTTTAATCTGCCAAGTGGACATAAGCCATAAAAGGATCAGCTCCTTCTGTTGCTTAGAAGGTGGGTGGGGGAGGAAGATACAACATTCCCTGTAAGGAAAAGTGAAGTATATATCAAACCAAACCAGTTACGCAAGGGTTATGCAATTACATATCATATGTAATCACAATCAAACGATGGTCAGATTAACAGCAGCAAAGTTACCACTTGGACCCCAATCAGTGAAAATACTGATAAATATTTAGCTTTGGCCTACGCATACAACGTGTTTGTAGGATTAATGTGTCATAATGTGTTGCATGTTTTTAAGTAATATTCTGGGTAGATGTTTTAATTCCTTTTCCAGGGAATATTGCTCTAATACAGATTACAGCAAACTTTTCCTAGGACTTTTGTAGAACTATGGATGGATCCCTACTATGTTATAACCTTTACAGATAAACAAATCTTATAAGGTTTATTTCTATTAGATTACCCTTCTAATATCACCCTTAGTACTGGAGTCTCCCAGTACTATGAAACACAACTTTATACTAGGCCCTCAGAGGGCAGTTTTGAAACCACTATTGATAGTGTATTGGAGACCTTAAGAACTTTCAAAATTGACTGTGGGACTCGCTTTGTTTGCTCTTGACCAACATCATTAACACCTTTGATACAGGTTAATAAAAACAAGTAAAAATACCAATACCACGAATCCAATTTAGAAACAACAGTAAAAACTGGTTAATAGGAGCAATAAGGAACGTGGACAACTATGATCTTTTGCATCAGTTACAGATACATTGAATGAGTGCTCAAGAAATCTATCTGTTTAAAAAACAAACAAACAGGAGAATCTTCAAAGTCATGGTCTCACACCACAGCCATAGTTTCCATACACACAGTTCTCAGATGTTTGTGTGAAGTTACCATATTTAACTGGCCTAATGCTAAAACGAGCCATAAACACAAAGAGCAATGATGTGCAGTGACCCACTAAAACCAGATTTCCACATTTATTCATTTAGAACAGTATGATTTTCAATTGGCTACTAGGACCTACTGTAACAGTTACTTTGATCTTCCCATATTAATTAAAGACAAAGAGACCAAACCGGCCACACTAATCAAGTGAATTCCAGTAAGTGAGATAACATTTTGTACTTACCTTGAGGGAACGCATTTGGCTGTACAATATACAGGAATCCTTGGACTATGTGAAACAGTAAGCCTATAGCCCCGGGCTCATCATAGGCACTGGTATCATATGTTCCAGTGGGTACATATCCAAAATCCAGAGGCTTCGGGGCGCTGTTATAAGAAAGGGGCTTTTCAGAGCCAGTACTTCCACAAAGCAGCAGAAGAATGAAAAGTTTGGGAGCCATTTGTATTAGAACCACATCAGCCTCAGAGATGGTTGGAGGGGTGTAGAAAGTGCGGGGTCTTCTCGGTCAGTCGCAGTGTGCAGCAGAGCAGTCAGTATCTTTATCCCTGGCTGTGATCGGAGCGTCTGCTCACTTGGAGGTAGGAAGGGATTTAGCAGACAGGATATTACAGGTCACTGCTAGGAAGAAAGGAAACAAAACCGTATTAACGTCCATAGATTAAGAGAACAGCTCAACAGGCATCTTCCAGGATATGAGAACCGATGTAATAGATGTACACTCATAGAAATCACATCAACAAAAACCCAGCAAGAGGGAGTAAAGATTTCGAAATGCCACATAGATTCTCAGCTCTGCTTCTGCAAGAAGTCTGATGCAGCGATTTAATGGATTTTCATTTAAAGTCAATCTAAAATAAATTTGCAATAATTGATTTTAAATTAGAATAGAGTTCATAGTTAACAAAGAATTCATTGCCAACTGCTTGGCAAAAATTGCAGAAATGCGCAAAATTGATGGTAGGTGTGTTCCTGTTAGTACAGTAAGGCGGTAAGAGTAAACACATAAATCAAATCATAAAGTGCCTAAACTGGTAATATGATGGAAGTGTAAGTATGCCTACACACACCTACCTGCAGGAAGCTTTCACAATACCCCTGTCCCTGTAGCCTTAAAATTCAGAGTGTTGCATTACGCACGTACTGACTTCATTTTGGAAATTAGTCTCATCCGCTCCCACTTCCCTACTCATCTAGCAATATAATGGACAACATCACAGTTTAATAGGGAGGCAGGCCATAGTGCCAACTGCCATATGAATTTAAGAGGTAGAGTCTATGTACCTGTATTTCATTTACATTACCAGTTTAGGTTTATAATAAAGATTGATATAAGTAAGATAAAATACACAGTGGTAATACATAAATGTGAACTGTTTTACCAGCCATGTGATCCTGGCACACCTGCCAGACAGAACAGCCAGGCCTGCCAAGTCCTGAATTCCTCAGCAGATTGCACTGTACAGAACTGTAGCCAGGCTATTGACATTGAGTTATTTACATATTCTTAAGAACCCTCACTGACTTCTTTAGCTGTGGGCTCTTTGGAGCAATTCATCCTCAAAGTTCATAAGTGATCTATTGAAATCATTGTAGTCAGGACTCTTTACGCTGCTCTACCCCTCTTCCTGTGCACCAGCTCTATGTATACATTAGAAATTAGAACGCTAGAA